TTTGGTGAGTTTGATGATGATATGTCTTGGTGATTTTCTTTTGGAGTCTATCCTGTTTGTGGTTCATTGGACTTCCTGAATGGATATATACTTGTCTTTCACCAGATTGGGGAAATTCTCTTCCAACAAATCTTTGACAATTTTCTCTGTGGTTTTACTTGTCTCTTCCTGTAAAACATAGATTATTCCTTTTGATAGTGTCCTACATGAACCTTAGGCCTTCTTCATTTTGTTTGAATCTTTTTTCTGATTGATCCCTTTCCAAAGAAGTATTGAGGTATTTGTCTTCAATCTCATTAAGTCTGTCTTTTATTGATTCAGTTCAGACATCAATGTGATATCTATTTCTGATAATTTCATATGAATCTTCTGGATCTCTATCTGTAGATTTTGTATCATTTCTAATTTTTCATTTATTTTGTCATTTTGTTCTTGTATTGTCTTCTAGTAGTTCAAACCCACCAGCCACTCATCAGAAGGAAGATTGAGCAATCTACTTCCATAGTGATACCACCTTGGAAACCCAAGGAGGGGTTGCTACGAGTCAGGGCTGACTCGATGGCATGTAACAACAACAACAACATTGTCTTCCAAAATTGTTCTAGAGTTTTCTCTGTGTTTTCCTCAATTTTGTCAGTGTTTTACTTGATCCATCTCTCAATCCATTGAAGGCACCTAAACACGATTCTTTTGAATTCCTTATCAGGGAGTTCCAATGCTACTGCTTCTTCAGGGATGTGTCCTGGGTCTGTATCCTGGTCCCTTGTTTCTACTGTTTTATCTTGCTTCTTTGTGTGGACTGTGATGATCTGTTGTCTCTGAGACATTGTGATGTTTTTGTGTTTATATTTAACTGGTGATTGTATGTTGGAGTGATTTGCCCAAGATTTTCATTTTCTTTACATGTAACTGAGTAAACAAGGTACTATGTTCCTCTATTTGCTAGTTGGCAGCACTTATGCACTCATCACCTGTCTCCTTTCCAGCGTCTGCCGCCCATATGTCTGTCCTGTCTTTCACAGGTGAAACCTATTGTTAGGACTCAGGAATCTGAATGAGTATGCTGTCACTTTAAATGTCCAAAATGACCACCACTTGTAAACATCTAAAATGGCTGCATGCAGCCATGCTTGTAAACATTCAACATGGCTGGGCCCTCTGGACAGCCAAAATTCCACAGCTCAGTTTGTCTCCTTCTTTGCTGTTTCCCTTTTCAGGTGTCAGCTACCCATGCAGTAGTCCATACAAACTTTGGTAAGCAGGGCCAATTTTTAGGTTAATTCTCAGGTCCTCACACCACTAGGAAATATTCAGCCTGTCTGTGCTGTCAGGACAGTTGACAGTCTGCAGCTCCATTTCTTTCCTTACTCACTGTTTTCATTCAGGTTCTTCCACTAGTTGGTGTTTAATCTACTTCTGTATCCTTCCTTTCAAAGCTCAGGGCTCCAGGATTATCTTTTGTATCTGTGTCAATTGGTTTCTCTTTTCTTCATCCAAGAGGATCTGTGTACTTTGTCTGCCTATTCCACCATCTTACCAGAAGTCCGTTGACATTTGTGTTCTTGACTGGTGTTTCCATTGGTGTTGATTGTGGATCC